AGCCCCCTTCGGTCGCCCGGATCGGAGAGTCATGGGGGTGGATTTATTTACAAGTTCATAATCCAGTCTGTAAAGTTTCTCTTAAGCGAAAGTTTGGTTTGCCCTTTTCTCAGAAACCTTCCCCTTAAATTGAAATTCGTTTAAAAGTGTGTTGTAAAGGCAAAACACCAAAAAACCCTCTCACAAACTGTATCAAAGCAAGGAGCCCCCCTTGCTGCAGAGCTTGGTGGCATGCCGTGGTAATGCAATGTCGTCTCTCCATCTTTTCCCATAGTGAGTCAGATGGCAACCCTAGCACAGAAGATGAATCCAGTAAGGGGCAGGAGGATTTATCTCCCCATCCACTCTCCAGCTCATCTGATGGCGTTACCAGCCTCAGCCTTCCTGGCCACATGGAGCCCGTCTACATGCAGCAGCTCGGAAACACTAAAATAGCCTTGAGCTCATCTGGTGTCTTGTTGAATGGAAACCTTGTGCCTGCCAGTACCTCTCCCGTCTTTCTCAATGGAAGCTCTTTTCTTCAGGGACCCAACGGTGTCATTCTCAATGGACTCAGTGTGGGGGCTTCGCAGACTGTTACCTTAAATTCGCCCAAAACCACATCAAGTGTCGTGAGCAATGGTGTATCCATTACTGATATACTGTCATCTTCATCAGAAGATGTTAAGGACTTCAAACTCCTTCAAGCTTCGGTCCCCAATGCCGCAGCAGCCACCTTCAGCCCCAGCAACATCCCAGTCTCATTCCCGGGGTTGATACCAAGCTCAGAGGTGAAAAGGGAAAGCATACAAACTGCTGCTTCACAAGATGGAGGCTCTGTAGTTACTTTTACTGCTCCTGTCCAAATAAACCAGTATGGCATTGTCCAGATCCCCAATTCAGGAACAAATGGCCAGCTGCTGAACGGAAGCATTGGGTTTTCTTCCCTGCAGCTGCCTCCTGTTTCTGTGGCAGCTTCACAAGGTAAAAGTTTTGTCTCTTGCAGTATTTTAGAAGCTGTGCTCCTTTTCCTCCAAGGTACTAGGATTGAATCTCAACCACAGCTACACACAGAACATCAAAAAGTACCTTTTGCCTTCCTTTGTAGTGGGTTATGCTCATGGGCAGACTGTTACATGAGGCTGAGCTCCTCTGCAAGGAGCAGAGAAGTTCGTCTGGTAATTTGCACCCCTTTCATGCTGTTTTCAGAAGTCTGTGATACCAGTCTTCACAAATATCTGTAAATTTTACACATTTCAGTAATTCAAAATATTTTCCATTTGCCACTGAATTTTTTTAATGAGAAGGTTCACAAAAATTAAAATTGCAGTAGCTGGAAATTGTTACCATCGTTGTTCTTTTAGTGGTTGTTTTGGCTCTTTGGTTTGGTTTGTTGATTTTTTTCTTAGGGTTTTGTTGGTTTTTTTTTTTTTTAGTTTTTTTTAACCAAAGCATTTCATAAAACCAAATTTTAAATGCCTGTAGACACAACATGACTAAACAGTTATGCTGGTACATTTTCTGTCCTCTAATTAAGAAAGATTAAACTGCAGGGAAACAATAGAAATATGCAATAGCTTGTAGATATGAAATGTGAGGGTATTTGGATAGAACTGCCTTCGGTCCAAGGGAAATATGTCATCGCAGGTTCACGTGCCAAGTGTGCAGGCTCCTCCCCAAGTTTGCTTTAGAGTTTGTCTTAACATACCATAGACTGAAATTTGCAGCTGGCCAGGAAGAATCCCAGGGAGCACAAGCCTAGTTCTGGATCCTAGTTTTAGAGCAGGTTATAAAACACAACCAAACAGCTTTATTACTCATTAGCCACAGTATCTTTGGTTATGAAAACGATTAAATGTGAATGAATCTCCCTACTTTCAGGAGCTGTGAGTACTATAATGAAATGAAACTGTGTTCATGTTAGCTTGTTAGAATTAAATGTGTATAGAGAGTCAACGATTCTTGCTATGATATGGGGAGGAACACTGAAGTTGTAAAAACACATTTTAAATGGGTGCACAATTATAAGATACTAAAATGTGACACACACGGTCAGTGGAAGTTACTGGTATGTAACCATAAGATGAAAAAGAGAAGACATTTAGTCTGAACACCACGTGTAATTACAAAAGCCATTGAATCCACATGCTCCAAGGCATAAACTGACAGCCAGCAAAGGTGAGAAAGGGACTTATGTCCCGTAGGTAACGTGGAACTACTGCATTAGAAAGTCCTAATATTCACAGCAAGCTCCTCTCTGAATATTTTCCCCATTGTTAAAAATAGAATTCCCACTGGAGAGTGATCCACCATACATCTCATCTGGTGCAGAGAAAAGTCAAGATCCGTATTTGCTGCTTTGATTTCTTTTTAGTGTTCTTAACACGAGACGATGGATAGCTGACTGTTTAGTCCAACTGCAGTGTGCTGCAGGATATTTTAAGTAAGCTACAGTAAATGATATCACCAGGTAACTTCAAATTGCCTCACTTTATTACTCTAGTTTACACAAGTTGTATCTTCCAAAAAATCATCATTGGTTAACAGAAATGAATAGGGAGCTAAAATATTTCCCAGGTGAGAAATTTAACTTCAGTACTGTTCTAAAAACTTTAGGTGTTTCCAACTGTAGCCTCTTCATGTTCTAATTAAACTGCTTTTGTGAGACGGAGGTGTTTGAACTGGGACCCAGTCCCAAGAGCCAGTGTATCTCATTTTTTGAATTATTATAATGGCAACTTAGATGGCATGTCCAGTAAAAACAACTTCAGGTCATCTCTGGCCACCTCTTCTTGCTTTGACTAGCTACAGCATCACGCAAGCAGTGCTATGGCTTACAGCAAGGGTAGGCAGTTGCTGTGTGATTTTTACACAGCGTGATAGATGTGGTAGGTTTAGGCTTTAGAAATAAGTGACACAGTGAGGTGAAAGGCAGTACGTCCGAGTGCTTGACGAACTGCTTCGTTAACCATATAGAAGTTACTGGATTTTGTTGTTTTTCTCTACAGGTTGACTCAGGTAGGTTCTGCCCAGCAGTAGCGGATTTCACGTGATATGCCTCCAGTTCCCACACACAAGCTGTAGTCTGTCACTGAACTATCTTTAATAGCCTTTCATGCTTCTATTTTTAGATAGAAATTGAGTGGTGGCAACTAGTGAAGGCCAAAGCACGTTGGTTTTAATCACATGGCTGAGGACTGTTTGCCCCTTAATGAGAGCCTGAAAGATACCTAATATACCAGAACCCTTTTTCTTTTTTTTTTTCCTTTCTAGAAGCAGTTTCTATTAACAGCTTTTATTTGTTCATACCGAATTTTCTCTCCCCTGTTACAAACAACGCTATTCTGTGCTGCATGATATATTAGCATGCGTGTCCTGCAAATATAAAAAAAGACCAAAATGTCTTAATAAAATGCCTCCACAACTGTCTGCAAACTGTAACCTGTGTTTTCCTCTTTTGCTTCCCTTCATCTAGGTAATGTTTCAGTAAGTCCCAGCACATCTGATGGGGGAACTTTTACGACTGAATCTTCAGCAGTGCAACAAGGAAAGGTTTTCTTCAGTCCCCTCGCTCCAAGCGCGGTCGTTTATACAGTTCCCAATTCAGGCCAGGCAGTAGGCTCTGTCAAGCAAGAAGGACTGGAAAGAAGCCTTGTGTTTTCTCAGTTGATGCCAGTCAGTCAGAACACGCAACTAAATGTAAACATGTCTTCTGAAAATATATCCAGTGGAGGACTCCAGTCCCTGGCCTCCTCGTTAGTGAATGTAACACCTTCACATAATTTTTCCCTTACACCACCAACTCTTTTAAATGCTGCAGAACTGAACTCTGGTATCTCAGAGAGCCAGTCCATGTCATCACCCGTGACCAGCACCTCTACAGTGATATCTATCAGCAACACTAACTATGCAACCCTTCAGAACTGTTCCCTCATTACCAGTCAAGATTTGTTGTCCATTTCTACAGCACAGCCTGCGCTTGGAGAAATAGTTTCTACAAGTGGAGACCGTGTCAGCCACTCCTCTGCACAAGTACATCAAGATTTTGTCAGAGAGCACAGGTTAGTTCTGCAAGCCGTACCTGATGTCAAAGAGAATTTCTTACCTAATGCTGAGAGTAAGTCAACTGGCAATTTAATGATGCTGGATTCGAAATCCAAGTATGTTATGAGTAACATGGTTGACACAGTTTGTGAAGAACTGGAAACGGACAAAAAAGAACTTGCCAAACTGCAGACAGTTCAGATGGATGAAGATATGCAAGACTTGTAACTTTTTTCCCCTGCTTTCTGTTTTTAATAGATAAGTCTCCTGTTGAGGCCCTAACAAACACCAAGTAGGGTTCTTTTGTTGTTTTTTTTGTTGTTTGGTGGTTGGGGTTTTTTTCATTTAAAGAAAACAGAAGAACACTTAAGTGGTCTGCATCAGTGTACAGAGGAATCTCCAGCGATGGAATTAGGTTGCCACACTTGGTTTGCATGCAGTACTCTCTTTTAAGCAGATTAAAGGAGAAAGGAAATGCCAGAGCAAATACTGAACGAATGGGTACAGGTCTGACTACAAGATACTACCCTGATAATTTAACTAAACTCTCCATAGTACAACATACTCTCAACAGTAAGTATACACTCCTAACATTAGATAGAAAACACAAATCTCTCACTCCAAAAAAGTAGAAACAATGCAGTCATTTTTGCTGTTTACTTCTAGTTCATGGGCATTGAGAAATTTCTAAGGAACTCTAAGACGATACCTTACCGGCTTTTATGTTGTTTGAGGTTAAGAAGTGAAACAAAATCATAAATAATATTGTTACTGGTGTGTTTGCTTTTTCCCAGCAGACTTGCATTCAAACCAAAAATCTCACATCAAACATTTACAGGTGTGTAAATGCTACAGCTAGCATTTTGTCAGTGCACCAGAAAAAATATCATTTGAAACTCTTAATTATGCAACTCAGAAGCTTTTTTTCCAGTATGAATGTAAATATTGTTTCAGTTCTTATAAAGGAGACTTTTTTTAAAATTAGTACAATGGATTTTATTTATGGTTTATGTTCCCTTTCAATTTAGACACAATGCATTGAAAAGGAAAACGTTTTCTGGCTGTTTAATTTATTTTTATTGTTTGAACAGGAAGTAAGCATAGTTGTTTCTGACAAGGTTTTACTTTTTTGTAGTTTTTCAAGCAATAGACTGTAAAAGTAAAATGTTAATCACACTGACACTAGAAAATGAGCTCCCAGTCTCACAAACCCAGGAGGTCCCTGTCTCTACCCCCTCTGTCTTTGTGTTCAGGGGTTTTTTGTTTGTTTTGTTAGTAATTTGCAAATTAGTTGAACCTTTTTGTGTATTTTTTACAGAATTCCATGTGCCTTTCTTCCTAGTGGCCTTATCTTTGTTACTAAAGCACAGTGGCAGGAGGAATAAAAACACTGACTTGCAAATATCCGTCCTCAGGGCCAAATCCTGATGCCTTACTTCTGCAAGTAGACCTGCTGACTTCAGTGCCCCTGCTTGCACGAGTAAGAAGAGTTTTAAGTCTTTCGGCCATCATGGGTGACATTTACTAGCAGTGCAGAGAGCCAAAGATAGGTCCTTCTGAACCACATCAGCAGAGCAGGAGGAGTCCAGAGACGGACCATGGGCAGAACTGTCATGCCAAGGGAAAGGTCTTGGCTCCAGCCTCAGGCAGCTGAGCAGGAAACGTTGGATGGGTAGGCCAGGGAAGGGAGCCCCATGTCTACATAGACCCATTGGCCGAAAAGCCCGTGTGGGAGGGCTTCAGCTGCTCTTCAGGCAAGCAGGCCTCCATCCAGGAGCGCACTCAAGTGTGTATTTATATAATCTTCCAGAAGAAGCAGCGCGGGGGCTGATGGTGGGAACTGCAGCTGCCCAAAGGGCTCGTGGGAGCAGCCATGGTCCCAGCTTGGCTGGCAATAGGTCTCCTCTCCCTTCACATTTTTGTGCTGCACCGGGGACAGCAGAAGCAGGCAGGCTATGGGCAGGTGGAACAGATCTTACCTTTCCTCCAGAGGAGTTTTTGTAGCATGGAAAAGCACATCCTTAGCTTTAAAATAATAGTAAGAACACAGTATGAAAATGACATGCTGTTAATCTTTGTGGTTTTGTTTTATTATTTTTTATTCTAAAGTGAATATATACAGTAACTAAAGCATGTATTCATCCTCATCAGGGCCTGGTCTGAAGCCTTTGGAAGGCAATGGGAAATGTTTTCATAAGCTTTTGTGGGTTCTGAATCAGGCTCAGGACAAAACAAGATCACTCTAAAGGACAAAAAAAAAAAAAAGGCAAGGAAAAAGAATAGAGGTAGCACATCCCAGTCTGTTTCTGTCTTGGTTGTTAACTGGTTCTGTGGAAAGCCTTTGAGGAATGCTTTTTTTCTGTGCGCCATGAGCATAGCATAGGCATCCTCGCTATTGTTTTGCACTATATTGAATGCAGCGTGCAAGGTATTCTGTGGAACCTTGAAGCTGAGCTCTGTTGGTAAGCACTGGAGTCCATGCTGCACGCCAGAGTCAAGGGCTGCAGGGAAAAGTACAGGGAAAGGGAAGAGCAAGTGTGCAAGGGGTGCACTTTGCAGCTGTACTGAGTCACTAATGCTCTGCAAACAGAAACAGCCCATTAGCACTTGGCTGTCCCCACGTGCTCCCAAGCAAAACGAGTGTTTAAGGCAAGCGCTTTAAAGTGGAGGTTATCACAAGCAGAACATGGAGCTGTGTGTTCCCCTGGCACAACTTCCCTTGACATTCAGGGGATCTCCGTGTGAGCAGGGAATCAGTTAGGGCAGAGTTCTCTCTGCTCTGCTTGTTTATCTGTTTGCTGGACTCCAGCATGAGCAGTCTGCTTCCCACCTCTTCTTCACCCATAAAACCAAGGGGATTATGATGACAATAACAGTAGCTGTATTTGCTTTGCGTGAATTTGTGCAACCGTTTGGAAAACTAGAAGGACCCTGTATCATTGTCATGTTAATGGAGAGCATATGCATGGCTCTGAAGGAGTTGTTTCTAGCTTAACTTTTGCTCTGTGAAGCTCAGACTATATTTGAAGGCAAGCTAGAGAGTATTTCAGAGTGATCAGTTGTTAATGCAATCTGGTCTCATAACTGAAAAGACTGTGGTATTCCACTAGTACCTGTTACTTTTGTGGTTTTTTTTTTCCCTCCTTCACATTTGTTGTGTTACTGAGACTCTAAATTCCGTGGCTTTGCAGCACAGATGACATGAAAACTGTGTGTGTTGTTACAGTGGTGCATATCTTGGAGTGTTTGGTACTTCTAATAGGAGACTTCCCACTCTTCAGTGAGAGTGCAGGATGTATATAAAAGCAGTGGTTTGGGGCAAAGTAAGATTAATCTATTCTAGTCTTCCAGATATCAAGTAACTTATTATTCAGTTTTACTTTTTCTTTCTCCCAATGAAAATAAGTGTCATTCCCTCCAGATAAGGTAGTTATAGCCTCATGTTTTCTGCAGGTACATATGCACAATATAAAGACTCATTGCACGGTACAGTGTTTTTAAAATAGATATTTAAATAGTAGTTTTACTCCTACTGTAAAGTAAGGGTCAGGTTTTATTATGTGGCCCTCAAGCAAGCAGGCTAACTGCTCTAAATATACAGTACACAAAGCCCTGAAAAGCGTCTGGGGCTGGATCTTTGGCTGCTGTAAATAAGGCATTGCTCCACTGATCCTGAAACTGAGGATTTTACGTGGTGTTTATGGGGTACAGATGCTCATCACCCACACACATAAATGGCAGTGAGTGTCCAAGCCCCACACACAGTCCTTATTATCACATTCTGTTGTGTAAATGGAAGGTATGCCTATCTGGCATATGTGTTCCTTCTCCTCCCTCCCTCCCTCCCTCTCTCTAACAGATGAGAATAAGGAATCATTTCAACTTCATATATGTTTGTAACTTTTAAGTCCACTGGAAATCTTATAGGAAACATTGCCAAATTCTACTACTTCTCTGGTCCCAGATTCAGCTTTGAAAAAGATGCTTAAAGTTTAAGCAAGTTGCTGCAAAACATGGTGTTAGAAAACCCTTTGTTCTTTACTACTTCTAATTAAAGCTGTCTCTGTTTCACCCAGAGTTTTGCAGAGAGCCAGAAATACCTTAAATTGGATGCTCTTTCTGGACTATTTGCAGCATTATTCCTGTGGTCTTACCTAAAAGGACATTTCAGCCACATAAATCACAGACAGCTATCGGCCAAGTCCTCAGCTGGGTTGAACTAGCACAGTTCCATTGACTTTAATGTTCTTTCACACCAGCTGAGAATATGGTCCAATCATTTCACTGGAGTTGGATCAGGGGTGGGTTTGACTCAGTACATGGTGGCAGTATGAACCAGTGCACAAGGCTGACACTCAGACAGTTATAACTGAATGGTCATGGTCTATCAAAGCATATACCTCTTTCATTTACTGCTTTACCCTACCTTTGGATTCAGGAAGACTCATTCAGAAAGCTACTTTACCCAAAAGTAAGGCTGCAACCGTCTTTACTGTTATTATTGTCAATCCGAGATTAATGACAATAATGGACAGATTCTTACTTCAAATCCTGCAAATTCACCTCAATAACTGTTTTCAGTTAAATAAAGCAGGGCAGAATTTGGTCCCATGTGCACAGGAACCAGTGCCTGTGCATCTTCCTTAGCAAGGGCAGATGAACAACCAGGAGGGTGCATCCCTCCATTTTCATATGAAATATGTGTGCAGGACTCCGGGGGCATGAGTGCTTGTGGTCAAGAAGCATCTCATAAAGAGTAGTAATTTTATAACTCTGGAAACAAAGGTAATGACATTTTGCAAGGAAGGAGACGTGAAGTCTTCCTGTATCTCCTAGCAGTTATTATCTTGAAGGATATTTTATACCTTACTTGTATGTTTCATATAGTTTAAAAGTAGCTTCTTAAATTTCTGAACTCAAGGAAGGGGTGAATCTCCTGACTTTCAGGATTCACATTCAGAGGATGTTTGTTCTTTTGCTGCATGTACTGTTTGTCCAGAACTAACCAGTTATTTCTGCGATATGGGTTTATTGTGCCTTACAACAAATATGAAACTTAAGCGGAATGTACGCATTAGAGGAGGGAATAATCAGAAGACTTTACTGCACTGTTAGGTGATGCCACCCCAGAGTGTATCATCAAACATATCTGTGCTTAATTACCCAACCAAAGAGATCTAAAGTATGTATGTTTGTTGTACTGTAATAGGGGTTTGTGCCTGGACAAT